TACCACTCGGTTCCCTCCGTGGCCTTCCAGTTTGGAGTGCACCATACTTATCCTCCTAATCCAGCGAGGGGCTGTGTCGGGGGAAAGAGTGTGTAAACGCCACTTTCGCTCGCATCCCTGCGCATGCCTCGAGCCCTGCTTGCTCTCTCTCTCTCTCCCTTCCGATTCCAGCAAGTGGCTAAGTCAGGTACAGTAAGTGACCCGATCTCATGAAATGTTAGCCGAAATTCTGAAATGCGTTTTCGATGAGGAAGGACTACTAAGGTGAGGTTGTAATACTAATTATCTTACGGCATAATCCTATAATATTTCGGACTTGGCAGGATGTCAGCTTTTGAATACATTGCTCCTCAATCTCCTGTAGAAAGAGAACTTGGAAAAAAATGACCACTTAATTAACATGCATTTTTTCCATTAATTTTCGATGGTCTTGAATATCGAGATATATTGTATAGAAGCCACGAACAAAAGTATGCTTTCTTTCAGTCGTTCGATAGAAAATCACATATTTATATTGTATACTCGATGAAGGAGTATGATTAGGTTTTAAAAGAGGTTTTCTAACTGCCGAATAACTTGGAGCCTGATCAGCAGTTACATTAGCGCTTAGTGATTTCAGTGTACAAGGTGCATGCGTTCCCCCCAAAGAAAACCACATATCCTTTTATGCCTTTAAAAAGATATCATATAGAGTCAATAAAATTTGCAATGTATTAGGACCATGTTGTACATTTCATGAGGAGCAGTGATAAAGGGATAGGTGCGATGCTATATGAATGGATAGTGCGCGGTCTTAAAAAATCTCATAATTAGAAACTTTTTTAAAACCTAATCATAATCCTTCTTCAAGTATTAAATATAAAGATAATGTAATTCTCTATCGAACGACTGTAGAAAGCACATCTTTGTTCGCGGGTTCAATACAATATATCTCGATTTGCAAGAGCATCGAAAACCAATGTGAAAAATACATGCTAATTAAGTAGTCATTCTTTACCGAGTACGGTTTCTACAGGAGTTTGAGGAATAGTCTATTCAAAAGCTGACATCCGGTCGAGTTCGAAATATTATAGGATTATGGCGCAAGATATTTAGAATTACAACCGCCCCTAAGAAATCCATCCTAGTCAAAAACGCATTTCGGAATTTCGGCTAACGTTTCATGAGATCGGCCACGCACTGTATGTTAACTAATATTGTTATACCAGTCAACCAAACGACATAAATCAAGTGGGGCTGCAGATCCAAATCTCGTCAAAATACGTAAGTGAACCTGAAGTACCTGCTCATAATGAAAAGCGAAGTGTTTTACGTAGAGAGAGAGAGGGGAAGGTAACAGTTGGTGTGAGTTTTGGACCTACGGCTTCAGACCTACTGGTAGATAAACCAGACCAGCGTCATAGTTGATACCAGAAAATTAACAGAATGGCTTTACTATTTAGCTTCTACAGTGGACGCAATGCACGTAAACGCCGAGCTTGAGTCTTGACACTTATAGGCCGGAGAACGGTTAGTGTGTTACCCTGCGGATTTAAAGATGAAAACCACATGATCCTATAGGCATCGGGACACTGTAAGCAACAGATTCGAATTTGTGCCATTCCGAGGGGGCACAGACTAGCGATCGGCTGTTACTGATCTTCAGGGTTAAGCTGTTTTCATACATCCGCGTTTACATGGACGTTATGGAGTAATTTTTGCATACATGATAGATTAAATGAATTCTAACTTGCAACAACCTCCCAATACACTTTCCACTTTGAGATAACGCGTCGGATTGATGGCGATGATCCATTTTTATTTATTTCCCATAAATGGTGGAGTTGTTCATAGATCTCTTGTTAGAAATTGGGAGATTTTGTTTAACTATCTGGCACTATTTTCGCGGTAGCATCCTTGAAACTGAACTGAGTCTGTTCCACTTCATCATACTCAGTTTTCACTTTATTGCACTGCATATCTTCTGATCTTGAAAACACTGTCGGACAGCAGTACTTGCAGCTTATTAAGTAATTGGTGTTGCATTCCGCGACAAGATCCGGATCACTGGTTTTTTTTGAAGCATCCGTTTTCACATCGCCAAGACTATGTAGACAGATAAGCAGGACGTTTTTCCACGCAACAACCGGCTGCCAGACGTTGTTGAACCCTGTTGTCCAGACCTTGTTTTGCAAAGGTATGCCCAACCAGCATTGTTGGTCAAGCAGGTCGTGGTTAGCATAAACAACGCCTTTACCGAGCTGGTTAAAGCACCGAAAATCCTCTCTGCTGTGCCTCATAGCGCTAATCTGGTACATACACAGGCAGTCACGTGCCCGATACCAACGGAGATGAGGTACCCATTTCCGACATATTATTCGTCATTGTCAGTCGCTCAGACGTAGAAATGCCTACCAATAAGGACGAGTGTCTTGACTATAGATACCTTAGGTGGGCTAACTCATGAAAAGTCGGCAGAACTTCCTAAATGCGTTTCCATTTCGAAAGGATTAATCAATTAGTGTTGTGAAACCAATCATCATGCAGCATAATTCTATAATAATTCAGTTACCCCAGGACGCCGGCTTTTGAACAAACTTCTTTCCGACTGCATCCAAAAACCATATTTCGTAAAATATGACTACTTATATCGCATGCATTTTTTCATTGATTTTCGATGCTCTTAAAATTCAGTTATATTTCATGGAAAACATGCATAAAAATATTCATTCTTTTGCATGTTCAGTAGAAAATTACGTCTTCTTTCAATGTCATATTCCAAGGAAAGGTTTAATTCAGTTTTATAAAAGTTTCTAATTGTGAGAATTTTATACCGTGAAATGGCCGTTCATAAATCTTTATGCCTCTGCATTTACCAAAGTGGCTTGTGAAGTTAACAATGTGGCTCAAATCCACTGTTTCATGTTATGAACCCCATATGGTCTCCTCTTAATACGGAAGAGAAATGTATGGTTCTCCGTGCGCGTAAATTATACGGCTTGTAGTTTGGGAACCCTGAATGCAAGTGTAACGGCAGGCCGGGTTCAAAATTATTCCGGAATTGGAAAAGTTTTATAAAACCGAATTAAACCGTTTCTTCGAGGACAAAATTGAAAGAAGACGTAATTTCCTACCGAATGAGTAGAAGAATGAATATTTATATGCATGTTTTCCACGAAATATAATTGAATCTTTAAGGGCATCGAAAATCATTCAAAAAAATGCATGCTACACAAGTAGTCACTTTTACGGAGTATGGTTTGTGGATGCAGCCGGAAGGAAGTTTGTTCGAAAGCCGGCGTCCTGGGGTAACTGAATTATTATAGAATTATGCAGCATGTTGGTTGGTTTCACAACCCTACTTAATTAATCCTTTCGAAACGGAAACGCATTTCGGAATTCCTGTCGACATTTCATGAGTTAGCTCACTTACTGTAGCTTCTAAGAAGCCACATTTGACAGTCAGTAAGTACTTCGTAGTCAACAAGAACTAACGCACAAGTAGGGAGGTACACTATCCCCTACACGAACCGCAGCGAAAACTGGTCCCGCTGCCGCACAGCTTAATGCTTTTAAAAGCTACTGACAGCTTTAAGCGTTACTGAAAAGCGATTTGAAGGACTCACCAGTGAGTACGTATTCAGCGCTTGCACAATTGAGTCGAATTCGCCAGATTCATTTCCCGTCAAGTTGTTAACAAAAACAATTGTGTCGAAACCAGGACTGCTTAGGTCTTCTACTGCAGACAGCTCCCCTAGAGCTGAGGAGACGCAAAGGAGGAAACAGAGGCCAAGTCCCTTCATCGTCGAGAAAAGACGTGGAAACACCGCTCCTGGCATCTGTGTGAGGTCGAGAGAACCGTGCAGACAACCGCTCTCGTGCTAGAATTGGCCCCGAGTGAACGCGATCGGTCGCGTTTGGTGCAGTGTACCCTGAACTAAGGAAGGGTCCGGGCCATTAGTCCACTGCCACTGGTAAACAGTGTCCAATGTGACGCGCCCAGTGATCACTGATGCGCGTATGTGTGCCACAGGGAGGGGCATGGCGCCATTGTAGCGGGCAGCCATCGTGACCGGTCTGGCATCATTGTTCACGACCTCGCTGCCTCAAGGTCATTCACCCCTTTGCAGTGAACCGTTCCAGACCCGCTGACCTGAAGTCACACGATCGACACCTCGGGCACACCTGCGTCCGCACAGCCGCAGCTGCCCATGCGGCTACTTGAACGCACCCCTCCCCCTGCCACCGCATCCTAAGCCACTGGGACACCACCCCTCGGCAAATGCAACACACACTTACTTGACACCACTTGAGTTAGGCCCACGAGCCTACAAAACTGGATGCCACCACTGTCCCAAACTCTCAGGCATGACTGGACGCAGTCAACACCAGCCCTGGTTTCACCAGTGGCAACTGACGCCTAAAAGGACAACTTTGGGTTCTGTATACATTAAACCCCCCAGTTTGGTGCCTTCCGTCTTCTCCTTCCAACATGGGGGTTTGCCTTGATTATTGTAGTTCACAGACTGTACACAATCACACCGCCTGGCCACAACACCATTACGAACCTGTGCGATTTTTATGTCTTTGTGAATACAAAGCGCATGAGGAGAATTTAAAGCATACCTCAAGTCGGAAACGGAGTTGACGCTGACGCCAAAGAGAACCAGGTCATACGAAGTGGCCACGTGATAGCGCAACTGAACGCACAAGTGACTGCTAGTCAAGTTTGGCCGAAGTTTTAACCTAACGAGAACGCCGTGCCTGGACAGGTAGTAGTTGGGCTACTCGTCCCGTTGTGACTTCATCTAGAGTCATACAGGCAGTCAAATGGCCAATGCCACTACGCGCAGAATGAGATAGCCCACAGGGACAACGGAAACTGGAATGGCCATTTCTGACTTTTTAGCCTTCATTCAACCACTGACAACCAGAACATCTTCTCACTTCTATATCTTCACAGAGTCCACAGGCGATGAATGTATACGATTGCCTCAGCAAGGGGTCCCTTCATTAACGCCCTATTCTTTTGCTACTCCGTCCCTATCATCATCATCATCATCATCATCATCATCATCATCATCATCATCATCATCATCATCATCATCATCATCATCATCATCATCATCATCATCATCATCATCATCATCATCATCATCATCATCATCATCATCATCATCATCATCANCCACCACCACCACCACCACCACCACCACCACCACCACCACCACCAACACTGCAGACACTACTCTTATTCCACCCTCATTTGTCGCCCATCTGTTCGTGGAAATCGCGGCGTTTTGGGTGAAGCGTCTCCTTGACCACTTGGGTATCTGTCTGGAAGTCATTACCTTGCCAGTTTTTATCACAGATACCTATCGAGTGACGTCAACAATAAAAAGGCTAATAGGCTTCTTACCTTCCTCGTGGACATGAGGTAAGTTTGCTAATAGAAGCGAAGAGACGAGACCCAGGAAGTAGTCTTGAAGAAGGAGACACGATCGCCGGGACCAGAGCTTTATTAGCCTGACGTTTCGGATTCCTGCTCGAATCCATCATCAGGGACAAAAAGCAGAAACGGGTGGTTGTTGCACAAGGGGTTGCGGTATTTATAGGATGCAGTAGCCATGCTACCGCATACCCATGAACATTCACGCCCCCCCCTTCATCCGGGATCGTCGCGCTTGGTGAGATCATGGCTTGACGGCCGACATTCGAGTCGATAATTGCTGTAATTTCATCACGTGCGTTGGATGTTGGCGTGAGGATTGCTCGACCATCTGACGCACCGACCCAGGTGTTGGGAAGAGTGTTCAACTCTGCGCTCCCCGCATGGCTTGTTACCCCGCCTAGGCGAAGTTTCAGTACGGAGTACCGCTGCCGCGTGTTCGGCCATTCTCGTTCGGAGCTGTCTTCCGGTTTCTCCGACGTAGTTGCTTTGTCCGCAACTGCATCAGATCCGATAAACGACTCCAGACGTTTCTAGCCGTGGCAGTGGGTCTTTCGGCTTTCAGGTAAGTTTTACAGGACAGGCCCTTTAAAAATCGGTCCGAGACATGATATGAATATTTGGGCTGACCAGCGGCGGACCGACAGCTTAATACTCGCATTCTGCCAACAGAAAGTCAGTAGTATGTGAGTGATGCATGATTTATTACACTGACGGCTTAGGTTTTGCCGACTGTGTGCCGTAAATGGGTTTCGCTCATGGGTCCTTTTCCCGAGGCACCTACTCCAAGTCAGAGTCTTAATTTCTCAGGAGATTAACAGGCCGAAATATCAAAACTGGAGAGCATACCAGAAGGCACATTGGCTTTCAACCAGTCGTTGATGTTTGTGTAGTAGTGTACTCAGTGTAAGTATACTACCGATTGCTTAATAGTAGCTTGTAAATATTACTCAAATATTCAACCGAAACATTCATATCGCCTTTCGGAGATATCCTGAAAAGCATATGTCAGATAATTCAGTATACGGATAGCACACGCATGACCCAGGAGAACCTACTGATGAACTGGACCGCTTGTAACTGTCTCACGCACACTAACGCATTCGGTGAAACGCACAGTTGAGCTTTTAGAAGTTAACTGCGTTGGAAACGTGGTAACTTAGCCATTAATAATAATAATAATGTCAGTATTAAAATGCCCCTTCCCAATCTCTGAAAATCCTGGCCAAAAATACTTTACATACAGTCAGGGGAACGCCGCCAAATCACACAAGACAAACGCATGCATGGCAGTAATGAGAAAAATGTAGTAAATATTTTTGTTTGATCTGGATGCATCTCAGCTGATTGGAATAACTCGGCAAAACTTTAGTGGCTCATTATGGACGCGATCTTATTGGCGTTCTTAATACTGCTATACCCTGGGACCCTTTGCGAGGTTCGAGTGTTAATTTGAATATCGGAGTCATTAAACACCAAGGCCGCCTCCTGTGCTTTGTTGATGTTGTTAAATTTCATTTCGATTTCCAGACAGATAATCCGGAAAATGGTAAAGCTTCCGCGTTCTTTAGACTGCAGCATGGATGTCGCAGATTTTAAAGGAGATTCAAAGGAAGACTTCAGCACCTTCTTCTCCCGAAGGCCTGATCAGCTCGACCTCCTGGACGTCAGAGTGATCTCAAAAATTTCCTGCTACAATTTAAAGCAGGCATAGACAGCAGAATTTATTGGATCCAGTAAATTTCGCTACGGCCTATCAACTGCAGCCTGTCGTTGCATAACACAGATAATAAGTGAGAAAGATACCGAGCTTTGAACTTCCACAGAGAAAATCAATATAAAACAGCAAGGTCATCGTATACTGCACGTAGACTAATCAATAAAATGATAACTTCAAAACGCAACATAGGAAATAAAATGGGGAAGTCAACACGCCGAGGGACTTCGTAAATCAAAAGAGCTCAGATATACCAAGGCCAGCTGAGGTTGGCCACGGTCTTCGATTACAAAACACCTCCTTGATAGCGGTCATTCGGTTGACTCCAAAACATCTTTTCGAGCATTAGTTCGAGCACGAACGACTCGGTTACTGCTCTACCTGGATGCAGCCTACATACGACGGGAGAAAGCCGACCTATGTACACAGTTAGACCACGTGGTCAACCTCAGCTTGCCCTGGTAGATCTGAGCCCTTTTGATTTACGAAATCCCCCGGCGTGTTTACTTCCCCATTTTATTTCCTATGTTGCGTTTTCAAGTTACCATTTTATTGATTAGTCTACGTGCAGTATACGATGACGAATCGTCCTGCGTAAACATCTATGTCCGTTTAGCCATCTACTGGTCGGACACAATGTCCTATCTAGGTCCACAATTCGACCAGTCTTGGCTAACAGTTGCATGATCAACGTCACATATTGCCCGACCTTTCTCATCGAGCTTCGCTGGAGATGACACGTTGGAGTAATCTCGGCCCAAACTGCGATTTTGCAAACAAATACCCAGAAGGGAAGGCTCACTTCAGGCACCCGTCATTCTGTCTACGAACTGCTGATCACTACTTCTCCAGGACGCCGTTTTATTAATCCCATGTGCATCAGCCTTTACTTCAATCAACTCTCCCCCTCTCTCTGTCTGCGTCGTACTTCCAAGTGTCCAGTGTGCCCATAGGTGTGTCTCTCGTCTCCGCTCCGTCTCCGGAGACGCATTGCGATAGACTGAGGGCTCAACCCGATAAAATGAAGTAGATTCCGTGCACTTTTATAAATATCCCCAATGAAAACTGTACGAGGTACTCCGTCGAAATCTACCAACTTCTGACGGGGAGACAACAAGCCAATCTACCTTTCGAAACTGAAATTCCTACCATCAATCACACGCATAATTCCAAAGAAGAGTGCTCATTGTCCAGTTATTGCATGTCAAAAGCTACTTATTGCATCAGATGTGCATAAACTTCCCCAAAATGTCCATTGGAACGCGGGTGGATAAACATAGTTGGGACCGGAAGATAAATAACGTCCCATCGTTAGTCTGAGCCCCCTTGGAATGGTTCAACTTCCGATCTGATGCCCGTAATTCTGCCTACGCGCTCTTGAGTGCTATCTCCCCAGGACGCTGGTTTATTAATCCAATGTGCATCAGCCTTTTCTTCCATCAACTCTCTCTCTCTCTGTGTCTGCGTCGCAGTTTCAAGTGTCCAGTGTGCCCGTAGGTGTGTCTCTGGTCTCCGCTCTGTCTCCGGTCACGATTAACGGTGCGCTTCTAATGCTAGTCCTGCACTTTACATTTGCCAAGCAGTAAATAATCAGTGTGGAGGTGTAATGGCGCCAAGCCCTTCACGGTTGCGCACATGCGAGTCAGTGGCCATCTAGAGTGTAGGTCCTGGCCTTGGTAATCAAGCTGACACGAAACCCGTTCATTGGTCCACAGGCGGACAAATCGGAAGGGCTCTTCTACTGTTCATGGTACCCTACAAGAGGCGTGGCTGAAAGTGTCCACCTAGGGTCGCTTCGAGTCCGGGAGCGAACGTTTGCACGTATCTTTCTTCTCGAAGATGCAGGGCCTTGGCCTCTGTTTCCTTCTCTGCGTCTCCGCAGCGCTGGGGGAGTTGTCTGCAGTGGAGGACCTAAGCAGTCCTGGTTTCGACACAATTGTCTTTGTTAACAACTTGACGGGAAGTGAGACCGGCGAATTCGACTCAATTGTGAAAGCGCTGAATTCGTACTCACAGGTGAGTCCCTCAAGTAATTTTTGTAACAGCATAGGCTGATGCCAACATATAAAACCTTAGCAGACTTACTGTAAACAAAGCTATATACGCCACGCTGTGTCTATGGAAGTAAGTTTTCTTGCTTAAGAAATGTTCGCAGGATTACTCAGTCCTAACTGCTACTATTGCTCTGACTGATGAGTGTGACTACATCGGAAACTATTTGACATCGGGACACCCACCCCTTCTCTTAGGGGCTTATGATGACGGCTATTATGTCAGAACCGAGCACACCAGTTTCCAACATCTCTGTCGACTTTGTCCTCCTACTATTCCCCGCCCATATGTTACTCCTTGCGAGCGCTCTAGACTGCAGCTGCGAGACTCCATTGAGCATCATATTGAGTTAATCGGGCATCTTTATTTTTTTTACGTGAAAGTTACACCATGCTAACAGCACAGGTACTAGCCAAAAACCCATACACGCATGTTTTGCCGATATTCTGCCGTCGAATGACACAGCTGCGAGAGGTTCGGTTCATCAGTGGGACTTCCAGCATTCCCCGTCTCTTTTCTGGTAGATACCCCAATTTGGAAATTGTCGTTTTTTAATTTCCTGAGAAATTTACTACGAACTGGGAGTAGATCAGTTTATTCAGTGTCTGTAGGCTCATACGGAGCCGAACCCCTCCAAGCTGCGCCATGCAGCGGCAGAATATCGGCGAAACACGCGTGTATGGCCTATTGGCTAGTAGCTGTGCTGTTAGTATGGTATCACCTTATCCTAAAATATACTACTAGTTGCCTCCCGGCGGTTAATGAATATCACGCGGTTAACCGCTGTAGTTGATGGACTCCGGTCCAAATATTCATACATAAAATTTTCGGTCTGAGCCTATAGGTCTTGAATAAACCGATCTACCCCAAGCTAGCAGTTAATTTCGGAGGAAATTGAAAAACGACAGCATTTTTATTTGATGAAAAAACGCGAAACTATTAATAAAGACACAAGACGCCCCACATAAACGGAGACCCAAACCCCCCTGTCCCAGGACGATTGAATGAGCTAGGTCATTTCGAAGTGTTCTGCCAAAATTTTTTGCAGTATACTAACGGTTTGTACGCTCGCTGTGACCCTGTGTTTCCCCTTCTTGCCTATGAGGCATCCTGGCTCAATTTCAACGCTGTTGTGCACAACATACACACACTGGAAGAAATTAACAGCTACCATATTTTGTCGTACTGTGGTGCTGCAGGTAGGATCTGCTTTCGGACGATCACGAGGCCTGGCGATGACAGAATCCGATGAGTGGCATCCAGTTCTCCCTTAAAACCTTTGCCTTTCCAATTTCTGGTACATGCATGCTAGACCATTTCTCATCCGCCCATTTTCTAAAAGAGGCCTGGTGGTGTAAAAACGGGGGTTTCGGGCAGACCGCAGATCCTTCTCATGTCATGGATTATGACGCCAACTACTTATTTGGCTGTAAGTAGTGGTGCACGATAATGTTTTTAGATCGGGTAAGACGCATTGCGATAGACTGAGGGCTCAACCCGATAAAATGAAGTAGATTCCATGCACTTTTATGGATGTCCGCACGTAAAACTGTACCAGGCACTTCGTCGAAATCCACCAATTTCTGATGGGAAGACCACTAGCCAATCCACCTTTCGAAACTGAAATTACTGCCATTAAGCACACGCATAATCCCAAAGAAGAGTGCGCACTGTCAGGTTAGTGCATGTCAAAAGTTACTTTTTGCATCAGATGTGCATAAATTTCCCCAAAATGTCCATTAGAACGCGGGGGGGGATAAACACAGTTGAGACCGGAAGATCAATAACGTTCCATCGTTAGTCTGAGCCCCTTTGGAATGGTTCAACTGCCGAGCTGATGCTTACTGTGTCCCCGCTAGGAATACGACAGTGTGACTTTCCGTTTTAGACTCTGAAAGGCAACACAACAACCGCTGTGTGGGTTGGATATGACTAGCTGATGACAGCCAGTAAGCCAGAAATGACCATTCCAGTCTCCCTCGTCTTTGGCGGGCTAACTCATGAAGTCTCAACAGAAATTCCGAAATGCGTTTCCGCTTCGAAAAGATAAATTAAATAGGCCTGTAAAAGCCAATATCATGCAGCATAATTCGATAATAATTCAGTTACCCCAGGACGCCGGCTTACGAACAAACGTCTTTCCGGTTGCATCTAAAATCACACTCGGTAAAAATCGACCAGCTACGTAACATGCATTTTTACCATTAATTTTCGATGACTATAAATTTCAATTTTATTTTATAGGAAACATGCATAAGGTATTTATCCTTCTACTCATTCGGTAGAAAATTACATCTACCAATTTTATACTCCAAGGAAGGGTATAATTCGGTTTTCAAAACTTTTCCAATCCCAAATAATTTTGAACCCGCTGAACCGTTACGCTTGGATTCAGGGTTTTGAAACTACCAGCCGTATATTTTCCGCGTACGCAAAACTACACATTTCTGTACGGTAATAAAGGGGGACTATATAGGGTTCATAAAATTTAGCAGTGGATTTGATCCATATCGGTAACTTTACAAGCCACATTGGTAACTGCAGAGACATGACGATTTATGAACGGTCATTTCACGGTATTTAAAAGTCCCACAATTAGAAACTTCTTTAACACCATATTATATCCTCCTTCGAGTATAAAATTGGAAGACGTAATTATCTACCGAATGAACTATAGGAGAAGTATTTTTATCCATGTTTTCCATGAAATATAATTGGACATTTAGGGGTATCGAAAACCAATGAGAAAAATTCATGCTACATATATTGTCATTTTTTACAAAGCCTAGTTTTTGCATGCAGCCGGAAGGCAGTCCATTAAAAAGCCGACATCCTGATGTAACTGAAATATTATATTGCAGACAAACTAGTTTTACAACCCTACCTACTTTATTTTTTAGAAACGAAAACGCATTTCGGAATTTCGGTTGACATTTCATGAGCTAGTCCACCTACTGCAGGACTTATAGGCCGCATGATGATGGAGTAGGCACTGGGTACCAAGCCTCATATGTGAGACGTTCTGTCCTTATGGTGCCCTGGTCTAAGACTATTCCTCTTTGGATGCCAAAATTGTGGCTAGTTTCTCCGATGTGGGCCGCAAGCTGTGAGCTTGGGTCTCGTCTCCGAGTTTCCAGTTTTGGCTCATGTAGGTGGGTCTGAAATTTCCGTCCGGTTTCACCAACATAGGGTCAAGCTCCATCGCTATAACCGTATTTGATAGACAACTACTGAGGTATCAGTGGGCGGCAGTATGTCTTTGGGTTGCATCAAACGGCGGCGAATTGTTGCCGGGGGGTCGATGTGCAATGCCTACCCTGGCGAGTTGTAGCAGACGCGAAACTGCCTCGGAGGCTCCGTTCATGTAAGGAATAGCCCTCCAGACTTCGGGTTGCTCTTCTTGTAGCCCTCATCTGTCCACCCGACGCTTGCTTTTCTTGATAAAGTAGCTTTTGTATCCATTGGCTCGAAAGAGATCGTAAAGACATTGTTGTTCAACTCTTTTGTCAGCTATTGTGCTGCAGTGTGTTCCAACTCTTTAGAATTGAGTACGGACATAGCTGGTTTGTGAGGAAGGGGGTGATTGCCGTTCCAATGTAGTGTTTGTCTTGTGTTAGTAGCTTTCTGAAAATGGTAGTTTGCAACTGTTCAATTGCACACCGACGCACAAGGACATCGAGGAAGGGTTGTTTTTTCAGCTTCCATCGTGAATTGGATATTCCGATCAACCGAGTTCAGTAATTCTTTAAGGTGGTCCACTTAAGATGATTTGACAATGGTAAATTGTCATCGATGTAACGAGCCCAGAACTTTGGTTGGTATTTTGTGAACACCAAGTGTTCTACCCGTTGAAGAACCACTTCGGCAATCAGCCCTGATATGGGCGAGCCCATAGGGGAGCCTTTGCTGTGTTCATACATTTGTCCACCAAAGGTGAAATATGTATTTGGGCAATACTGTAAGAGCTCCGTGAAATGTTCAGTCTTTACGGGTTGTCTCTCTCGTCGTAGCTGTCAGCCGGAAGTTGTCTCACAACCTCAATCGCTGGGTGTTGCGGAATGGAGTTGAAGAGTGAAACGACATCGAAAAATAACATGGATTCATCTGGCTCTAGTTTTAGATGTTTCAAACTTTCAAGGAACTGATTAGCAGAAGCCACTATTGTTGGCAAACCCTCTGCCAGGAACTTAAGATGAACGAACATCCATTTTGTCAAACCGTACGTTGGATTGCCATGTATGGATACGATGGTTCTAGACTGTTTACTAACCTGATATTTAAGTTTCGGAACTTCGAGCCCGGGATTCGTAAACCCTTATTTCGTCCGCTAAAGCCGTCCACAGTTAACCATCTGCATCTGATGCACTATGATGCATGCAACAGTCGAAATACATGTTTTTTCGTGCACGCTACCGGGGCCCAAATATGCACAAAGAATGGCCGATTTTCACTTCCGACAAAACAAATTAGCTTGCCAGAACCGAAACCACGATGATGAAAGGCCTCTAAGAATGTGAAAGTCCAATGAACGAAGAGGAACGACTTTCGTGCTCGGTGTATCATTCGTGTTCTTCACAACAGCGCTAAGTGAATTCTTCAAATGTGAAACAACGTCAATTGATTAAGTAAGCCTGGCAGTCATCTGAAGGATATTAGATTAATTCAGATTGACCCAACTGTGAAAAACACGGCGTCTCGGGGGGATTCGAACCCACGCAGTAGGGGGGAAGCTTTAGTACAGCAAACGCTCTAACCACCTGAGCTACGGGGCCCCGCCGGACGACGCGAGTTTAATCACATTTGGATCAAGTTACCAGCCCAACCTACTGCAACGTCCGGATTTATTGCTTGAGAATGTCTGACTTGGCTGTCAGTTTACTGTATCGGTGGATTTCACACGCTGCCGTTGGCTGACTTGGCCTAAACGTGATCAAACCCACGGCTCACGGTGGTGCCTTAGAGCTCCGATGGTTTGACTCTTGGCTGTACTCAAGTCTTGCCTTTGATGTCGTGGGCTCGATTCCACTGAGGCCGCCGAGGTTTTGCACAAGAGGGCCAAATGCGTTCTCCCAATCTGTCTAAAGCGTTAGTCAATCAATCTGTTTTTCCTTTGTGCAACTTCAAAGGCACGAAATTCGCAGATCGACTGAAAGCCTTCTCAGAGAGTACTTCGGCCTGATGGGCACAGTAATGCCAGTCTACTTAATTATTTTGAGTTGGAGGGATTACGTTGGCATTGTGTTGTTGTGTTTTATGGTGTTCTGTTGGCGGCCTCGTTTGTTTTTTGCTGTGTCTACCTTCTTCTGCCCAATGCCGGTAGTCCTTCTTGGCTTTCAGCCTGTCGTCTCCTTCTAACTTTCGCGTTGGACGATTTGGGATAAGGGTTTAGGGCTGCGGTTAAGGACTGGGGTCAGGGTTAGGATTAGAAATAGGAGGTAGGGCTTAGAGTTAGGGATTAGGGCTGGGGTAAGGGGTCAAGGTCAGAGGTTATGGCTAGGGGGTGGGGCAAAGAGGTAGGGTCAGATTTAGGGATTAAAGTTAGTAGTTACGCTTAGTGGTCAGGGTTAGTGGTTAGGACAACAATTTCTCAACCTCTCCAAATACAACCGCGCATTTCCAATAGCTTTTATTTTGCATACCGTTACCCGACCTCGTCATCTGTTCGTTCCCCGGTCCTAACTGCAAAAACCCCTATTACCGCCGGTCCCGTATTACGGGTGGCTGGGGTTTGTTTGCCTTAGGTGCGGCTACATAACCGCATCTGACCGGTAATACTTTACAAGTGGTAGTTACTTGTCCGGCTTTGAAGCTGGAAAAGAATCAGAGTCAAGTGTTTTATAAACAGAGCTATAGCGGGGGAAGTTTCGAGTACGACCAGCAGCCCAGATTTGTGCGGTTACACTCAATGTTTTTTCATTCAAAAGACTGTGATCGAATCAAATTTATATAAGTTCCCTGCAACTGGTTTTAACGTATCGCCCGGTTAAATGCTGCATTTTAGTCTCGCTGACACCATGGCATTGATCGCGTTACTTATGTGATTGAAACCTAAACATCACAACGCGCAAAGAGGGTGCAATGAATGGCACTTTTTGATACTTCTTGACAGCTTGAACTGAGCGAGCGTAAACACTCTAGATACTGCCACGTGTAACCATGTTTATCCTTGACGACTGTGCCTATCAGGGACCAATTAGATGAGTTATTTATTACGGAAAAAGTTTTCGAGCCTGACGTTTGCATCAGTCTACATTTTTTTCATCGTTCGTTTTAGGTGCACCCCCTGGCATTTAGGGAAATATGTGTTGTGCCCTTTCCAGGAAATCCCAGCAAAAGGATTGTAAGTTCCTGAGGCCCCTTTGTCTCACATATTTACCTTCGAACCTACCCACTGTCCTTTTAGGCGAGTTCTGGTTTCGTTTATAAAGAGTCGGAATTGTCGTCATTACCTATTCACCTGATTGAAGACATTAGAAAGCACGGTAGCTATTAAAACCTCCCACTCCTTTCCGAATCTTTAACTGACCTCCAAGAATGATCCCACGCATGTGCTATTTTCAAGCACGCAGCAAAACTGCCAGATGACTGCTTTGAACTGTCCGGGCATTGGTCGAATCAGGTGCATTACGTAGATTTGTCATGAAGTTAGTCAATGTGGCCTGTTTCGCGGTTGATCCCGAATAGAAACCAACATTAAACCATCTGGGCACATCAAATAACGCGAATTAGAATCTGACTGTGAAGCACCCTGAATATCCCTTATGGAAAAGCTGGACAATTTGAAAATCCCAAAGGCCATCTCAGCTAAAACAAACCGTTGGCATGAGATCATGCGGCCACTAGAACAGTTTACAAATTAAAGTCTCTCCTGTGTACGGAGACCGCAAGGATTTTGAATGTTTCGTTTTTTCCCAAACACAGATAAACGCGCCAACAGGCGCATTGGACAGAGACTACGATGACAGTCGCCGGATTTACGAAGCTGCAAAGGGAGGCATAAAGAAGTGAGTCTCCGTTATCTACTTAGGTATCATGCCAGCCGCTGACTGAACCTTAAAACTGATGTGACTCTTTGACCATCCTTCCGTTTCATCTGTGCTTGTGCAGTTGGAATATGGTGCTCGGACGTAGATGACAACAACCCTTTAAAGGCGTGAAATAGGCACCGGAGCATCCGCGTTCCCTAATGACAGCCCGGTGTCAGGTTATAAAGATTTTCTGCTCTATTTACAGTCTCTCCTAACAGTTGATGATAGTTTTGGTGAACCTTTCGCAGGAAACTGCTACCTACCAAGTCCATTTTAGATATTCTCTAGTCTGAACGAAGGATATCTACCGTACGCCGGCTGCGCGGCCAGAAATTTAACTATCGGACGTATCTTTTCCTCCTTACGATGTGAAGGGAATGATTAGGGCTGCCGCGAAATGTCATCATTAATTTATTAGACTAGCAGGAGTGTGATGTAAAAAATACAGAAAATGTTTTTACTGATGTTTGTCAGTAGTTCTTTCATATTATTATAAAATGTGCTCTCCAACTAGTAGAAAGCGGTTCACGGAGTTAATGCACGACACCTTACAATATTCGGGGTACATGAGGTTGGTCCGACTGGTTTGGGGCAGTCTAGCACTGACTTTTCAATAAAACTCCTAGATCGAAACACGAGGATAAAATATAAACTAGCGATTAGCAAGAGAATACAATGGAGTGGGATTTAGCGTTAACTTTGGGTGTTCAGCAAGAAAAGTATCATCAGCCTGTACTTCGATTTTCCTCCTATAGTCTCAACATCGGAGTAAAAATCTTCGCATGCTTTAAAACGTAAAACGATGGCATGCAACAGACTGTTTCACACTTTCGCCAGTCTACCAACGTGCGGCGGCGGCGATGGCGGCGACTGCATTTTTTTTGTATCTGAGATTGCTGGAAGGGTAACTACTGGCCGTCTAGTGCATCTACAGGTGGATGTTAGCTGCAAAATTAGCAAGCTCTCGGGCCGGAAAAATAGGCAATCGAGGATCAGAAACGACAGTACTGTTAGGCTGCAGGAGCTGATGTCTGGTCGAACTTATAAAATGCCGTACAGTCCCGTGACGGGCGTAGATAACAGCAGCTGTGTAAAGGTGTTGAAGGGGTGTCCGACCACCTAAAGGCAGTGAGGGGTTCGGGTTAGGTTGTGACCGCTGTCTGTATTTCAAACACGCGTAGTGCGTGTGACCGTTCTCAGGTTGCTGGGGTGACGTATGATCACCACTTGGAGATGACCAGGGAAGACAGACTGTCTCAGTCAGCTCCTTCTGGTAACAGAGCGCAGGACTCCCTAATCGAGTTGCCACCGCTCGGCTGCTGCAAGCACTAGCCCGACGCCAAAGAGACCTTTGCAGTTTCCTACAGGGAGCCTGTACATTACTTTAAAGGCCTACGCAAACGGGCTCTAGCAACAGCCGAGGCGGTGGCTATTCGATTAGCGAACCCAACGTCTCGGACAAAAAATATGAGCGGCTGTTGGGGCCCGGCTATGCTAAAAATCCTCAATAATCCTTATGAGTGAGTTTGACTAGACCAGGCACGATCGCAGCTGTACGAAGCATACAACGTAACGTTTGGTTAGACTCAGCACGGTTGGCTTGCGATCTTAAAAGCGGCAGTCCGACCGCCCTTCGCGACGATGCTTATCAGGTGTTCCACTGCAGGTCGAGCGCAAGGACGGTGACTTGTGTGTGATTGTGTGTTGCGTGTGTGTGTGTGACGTGTGTGTGAGTGGTAGTAGACTTGCACAGAATCTACTGCACCATCACCTTCCTCATCCGTCTGGGCCCCGTGTCATCACAGAGCCAAGAAGACCGGGGAGAGGGTCAGATGCCATGACTTACACAGCCAAACAGTCCGACTGCATCGCAGGGTTGCACATGGCCGACTTAGGAATAACTGGTTTCATCCTCTTTGGCGCCAAAACACCACACGTGTACCTCAAAGACGCCCTTCCAGAATACGCACATTTCAGCTCTGTGCAGGCAGTGATTTTCTGTGGGTGTCACTAAAGATACATTTGCATAAGAATGCCTATAGAACATTTTAAATTTGCGTTGTGCATAGCTCAAATTTCATGAGAAGTGACCGATAGGATGTTATAGGTAACTACCTTTGTGCGAATAGGGTGGCAGTGCGAAGTACTACTGATTAAAATACAAGGTCTAAAATAATTGTTACTTAAATACAACGAGTACGATAATATTTTTCCTTATAAATACTTTACTGTCAATGTGCCGCTTGTTCAACTTTTCTGCCTGTCTTTAAGCGACGGTAACGTGATGGTGGGCTGCGGCCGCCTCATACTTCATTCAAATTAGGAAATTGACAGTTCACACGTCTGTGTCCTCAGTTAACGCTCTCATTTATGGAAGGGCACGCTTCCTTCTCTCTGCTGCTGCTGCCGCTGATTGCTCTAAAGGACTTCTCTGATTGGTTTGTCAGGGCAATTGAGTTGGGATTCAGATCCCCACTGCTGGTTCTTGGGCCGCTTACGTCCGCACCCGCCGACGCCGTGTGGATGGAGGGAATCTTCCCGCAACTAAACGCGATCATGGGCGCTCTGTCTGCTCTTTACACGGTTGGTCAATCGACTTCGACTCTTGTTTTCACGTATTCTTATAGTCCCCTGTCTGAGTAGAAGTGCAGTGATCCCTCCTCGACCGCGGAGGTTGCGTTCCAGAATTTGAAGTCTGCAAAACAAAAAAACATGCATTCGTGGTTATTTTTACATATTTAAAGCTCTTACAAACCCTGCCACCTTCTAGTAAACATTTCTCACACGGCTATCCAACCTAAAGCCTTTTATATTCTCCTAGACATTAGGCAAGATTCGTACGGATGTGGGACTTAGGCCCGTAATCTGACTGGATGGGTTCTTTGTCATCAGTAGCTAGCGCCCTGTGCAAGAAATCAACTGAACAAATCAGCGGAGGAAGCATGCACTAGAAATAAAAAGGTCCATTATCCGCAAAAAAACTGCAAACAAGCGGAAAACCCGCGATATATATGTTTAGATATGCGTGCATGTGAAATCCTCGATAGAATAAAACCGCGAGACTCGAAGCGCGATAAGGCAAGGGACTAGCCAACTGCTCGGACATCCTTCCGAAGGCTTATATCTAACGTACCTGGTTGTTTTTTATTCAGCTTTCAACGCTAATAGAAGCAAACAGGTGGGTTCCTGTAGGCAGTTCAGAAGAAGATTATGCGATCGCTGGAGCAAGAAATTTATCGGCCTGACGTTTCGAATCCTCACTCGGGCACATCTTCAGAGACCGTCGCGGATAAGGGAAGAGGAGATACAGGGATTGGTGCATTTATAGTAGGTGGCTTCCGGGGGACCCCATACATACTATAATTAACAGCTCTCGTGATCACCTCGGGGGGGTAGTAATTGATGCAATGATGGCCCTTCAGTCCGCGTCTGAGTTCTTAATGGCCGCGATTGCACCATCCATGTTCGATTTTGGCATGATGATTACTCGGCAATTTGCCTCGCTGTTACTTTAATGGTTGTTCGCCCGCGCCCTCCCCACAAGATTGATTTCCTTGCTCAGGGAAGCCTCAGTACCTAGTATGGAAACGGGAGGTCATCGCGTTTTCTGGCGGACCATGACTCGAGCAGCTCGCAACTCATGCGGTCGTCACCTCTGGCGGGGCTATTAACGACTCGAGCGCGGACTGACAAACCATCATCGCACCAACTACGACCCCCAGCGGTGATCGCGAGTTGTTAATTACAGTACGCACATGGTCCCACGGCAGCCACGTACCATAAATACTGCAATCTTATTGACTCCACCATCCTTATCTGTGATTGTCTCTGAAGATGCGTTTGAGTGAGAACCCGTAACGTCAGGCCAATAAAATTCTTGTTCCCGTGATCGCATCTTGTTCTTAAAGGTTAATCTTATTGGCTTTCAATAAAAAGTTTTATGTCTACTTCCAGTCAGTAGGTTGAGTAATGTGCTTAGCAAATAGTACACTGTCAAAAGAGAAACGGGTGTCAGTTTGAAACCCGACAAATTGTTCTAGCCCTCAGCGTATAGGGCACTAGACTAGCGCAACCCGCGCGCCATATACTGAGCGTAAGAGCTTCTGCCGAGTCTAACTGTTTGCAAAAAATATGTATTCTACAGGAGTTCTCCGGCAGCGCTGTAACTATTATGAAAATTCTTTGCAATCTAATAGTTCACACTGAAGCCAAACCTAACGCGCAGTCTTTTCCATTAGGAACTTGCGAGTAAACAGTTAATTCCCAGATGCATATTTTCTATAGAATATAGGGAGATTTGTCTCCAGCAGGGATTTTCAGCGGATCGGTTCGATGGCTACGCTGTATGGACGTTTGTTTTACAACTTGGACTATGACCTCTAGGAAGTCAGACATTTTAGCGAAAGAATCATAGATTTAGTAGTTGGAATTGTTCGAAGTTCATGGTACGAATAAACGCAGGCAACTTCGGAGGAATTCCCCAGAAGTCCTAGTTCAATAGGCGTTCTCCTCCGGGAGGCTTATCCATCTTGACATTGAATCTACAAATTAGTTCGGCTTCTATTCCAAGCTTCTGTGGCCTTGCGTGGTGCAGAGATCGCTTTTGAACAGGCAAGAATACCATGAAGTATCTTATCAATTTACCCTGGTTTTCCAAAAGCTTTGAATTAGTTCCTACACGTACAGTGCTTGACCGATATTGTGAATTGTTAACCGAAATTGTGAATTGCGTTTTCGGTTAGCAGGGATTACTTAGGTAAGTTTGTAAGATTGATTAGCATGCAGCGTAATACTATAGCATTTTGGACTCACCAGGATGTCGACTTTTGGATGCACTTTCTTTCGATCTCCTTCAGAAACCGCACTGTAAAAAAATAACTACTTATGTAGCATGCATTTTTCCTATTGATTTTCGATGGACTTTTAAATTCAAATATATTTTATGGAAAACATGCAAAAAATATGCTTTCTTTTACTTATTTGAAAGAAAATCACATTGTCTTCATATTTCGCATCCGAAGAAAGTGTATATTTAGGTTTTAATAAAATTTCTTATTATGACATTTTTAAGACCGTGCGATGTCCATGCATATAGGATCGCGCATGTCCGTTTACGAATGCTGCTCATGAAATGCACAACGTAGTCCGCCTCCATTGCAAGGATTAATGAACCCTATATGGCACCTTCTTGAAGTCATATAGGAATATGTTATTTTCCTTACGTAGAAAGCATGTAAATTGAAGACTGGAGTCGCTAAACGCTACCACATTGGCAGATCAGGCGCAAAATTATTCGAGAATCGGGGAACTTTTTTGAAGCCTTAATATACACTTTATTCGGATGCGAAATATGAAGACTATGTGATTTTCTTTCAAATCAGTAAAAGGAAATATATTTTGGGCATGTTTTCCATAAAATATATTTAAATGAAGAAGACTATCGAAAATCAATAGGAAAAATACATGCTACATAAGTGGTTATTTTTTTCAGAGTGTGGTTTCTGCAGGAGATCGAAAAGAAGTGCATCGAAAAGTCGACATCCTTGTGACTCCAAAATGTTATAGTATTACGCTGCATGCTAATCAATTTTACAACCCATTTACTTACTTTGCTTACGCACGGTCATCGGCATTTCCTTTGAACCGATCTAGCCCCTGGAAATAAGGGAGGCCTTTCCAGAGAGAACTGCGAAGTACGACAAATTAGGAATTTACAAGCCCGGCAACGAAGTTCTCAGGGTTGCCTGGGCAATGGAGGAGGGACGCCGGGTGGCGCGTGATATCTGCGGATCCGATCCTGAACGAATGTCCGCCTACCGAATCGTCGAGTACCTCGAGCAGGTGTTTGCAAATGACAGTCAGGTCACCATGAAGGCCGAGCGCGTTGATCCGGTGAAGTATCCATTCTGTGCAGCAGTCAACAGGGCTGCAAAAGGTTTGTTTGTTTGCACTGATGGAATTCCACTTTTATGATATTTGCATTTTTGCCAATGACATTCTTAATTTGTGGTTATCTGCGACTTTTAAAATAGTGGGGTTGGGAATATCTGAAAATATCCCTTCTGCGCAGCAGTCAACAGGGCTGCAAAAGGTTGCTTTGGTAACATTCCACATTTAACATGTCCATACCATTGAGGACGACATCCTGGATTTCCGCCTACCCACAGTTCTTAGCATAGTGCCTTACAGATTTGCAGTACTTTCAGTCACAGCATTAGTTTGAGATTAGCTCATGACTCTCTTCCTCTGACTAACCGTATGCCTAATTTTCATAAGATTTATGGTACTTTGACGGAAAATTAAATACCCAATGGCATAGAAAATGGGGGGTCAATGCCCAGATCTGTCCTTGAAGTCTCTTTTTTGCCCTTGCAGATGACAGTGAATAAATAAAGTAGATGTGCTTACTCATGAAATGTCAACCAAAATTTCGAAATGCGTTCTCGTTTCCAAAAGATAAATTAAGTAGTGTTGTAAAACTAATCAAGATGCAGCATAAATCTATGATGATCCAGTTACTTCAGGGAGTCGGCTTTCGAAAGAACTTATTTTCGGCTGCATGCAAGATCTACATTCTGCAAAAAATGACTACTTAATTGGCATGCAATTTTCTCATTGATTTTCGATGCCCTTGAAACTTTAATTATGTTTAGTGAAAAGCATGCATAAAATATTCATTCTTTTACTTATTTAGTAGAAAATCACGTCTTCTTCCAATTTCATACTCAAAAGAAGAGTATAATTCGGTTTTAAAAAAGTTTCTAATTGTGAAATTTTTAATACCGTTAAATGACCGTTCATGAAACGTCATGTATCTGCATTTACGAATGTGGCTTGGAAAGTTAACAATATTGCTCAAATCCACTGCTTAATTTTATGAACCTCATATGGTTTCCTCTTAACACCGTAGAGAAATGCATGGTTTTCCGTACACGGAAAATATACAGCTTGTAGTTTTGAAACCCTGAATGCATGTGTAACAGCAGGTCGGGTTCAAAATTATTCAAGAATTAGAAAAGTTTCCTAAAACCGAATTATACTCTTCTTTTGAGTATGAAATTGGAGGAAGACGTGATTTTCTACTAAATAAGTAAAAGAATGAATATTTTATGCATGCTTTTCATTAAACATAATTAAAGTTTCAAGGGCATCGAAAATCAATGAGAAAATTGCATGCCAATTAAGTAGTCATTTTTTGCAGAGTATAGATCTTGCATGCAGCCGAAAATAAGTTCTTTCGAAAGCCGACTCCCTGAAGTAACTGGATCATCATAGATTTATGCTGCATCTTGACTAGTTTTACAACACTAGTTAATTTATCTTTTCAAAATTAGAACGCATTTCGAAATTTTGGTTGAGATTTCAGGAGTTAGCACATCTACTGTACATCTTGGACAAACTGTTCAGGTTCGGACATAGTCTTGCTCATTCCCAGACAGCGGACCTTTATTGGAAAGCATCTCTTATGGTTTCCACTTTAAAGCTAATTCAGTACGGGTGACGGACTACAGCAACACCCGATATACAGTCAGTATTCAACGGCATACACGAGTTTGAGGGCCGCTGTTCGGGTGTCTTTTGCAAGAGTGCACATTCTTTAGAATAGACCTCAAAACGTCGCGAAACTTCACAAGATGTGAGGTTTCAATCTTATTGCTGATGAGGCTCCGATCTGTTCAGAATATTCCCCGGGGTTGTAAGCGTCATTTAAGACCTAAATTTCCTATCATTTCTTTACATAACTGTGCTCGTCGCATAGACGCGACCTGTAATTAATTCGCATGACTTAACGGGCAACCACGTATCATTCTCGGGAGGGCTCTGTACCAATAACATTTTCCTAATCTAATACCTGAGCCTCTTCGCGATTTCAGGATAGTTATACAGTCCGTGAACCTCGGCTCCTTGACCGTCGTTGTTGCCGCACAGGAGAAAAGGGAGTGCGTAGACTTCCGCCCCGGTTTTGCTCATTATAATTAAAATCGCGTGGAATCCATCAATATTCCAGGCTGAAATTAGTGTTCTTTGTCGTTATAAGCGAAGAGACGAGTCCAGGAAGCCGGCTTGAGGAAGAAGACGCGATCGCTGGGATAAGAGCGTTATTTCGTAAACAGATCTGAGGTCTTATTTGTGACTGTCAGCCATGTGCACGAAGTCTGTGCTGCAAACGTAGCGCATACGACTGCGTTTCTCAGGGCTGTCCACCCTGTCGGCACCATCTAGTTTAAATCCCCGATCTGTCTTTCCTGGTCTGTGTACGACCTTTCGATAGTCTGTAAACCTCGGCGACAACAGTACGCTTAGAGTCGACCCTGCTCCTCGTTCATCCTTATTGCTGCATAAGAAAAGAAGGATTCCGTACAATTCTGTCACAGTTTTGCTCGTAACATTTCGTGATCTGTCTAATAAGAGATCACGGACTGCAAATTACAATCTTTGTAACGTACGAACCGCCCACTCCTCGTCCACGAAAGCTTTACTGTGCTAAAGAAACGGCCAAGCTTCGAAATACGAAGTAGTTTGCTTTGTATATTGTTATTTATTGACTATTAAATAAATTATTTTACGAAAAACCGCCAAATCAACAACACAGATCAAAAAGTTTCAATTGCCTTTAATTCATCAATGCGATTATTAAACATCAGTGTTCCCTCTCGAGGACGAGTGACAAGTCCTCGTTTTCGAGGGTCGCGCTGTGGTTTGTAGACGAGCAATAATACTTCGCCACTGTTGTCGCTAAGTTCTTGCCAACCGCGGGGTTTAGGCGGATGATCCCACCTCGAGGACGTCATTATCATTACTCAAGTGCAAGACATCGCAAAATCGAAATCAGTCTGTGACCTCGGTTCAAATGGACTGATTGAATCTAATCGATGTACCCTCAGCAAATAAATTCTGGTCTGCTTTCCAGAATATCCAGTGCAAACGCACTCACACACACACACTTTGATAAGAACGGGTGAAAACCTCTTTAACTGTTACCATTCTGCAGGAGTTGAACGACACGATGGACGCATAGTCACGATGGAGTACCAGGGCGCGGGTGCCCCCCAAGAAACTCTCCTCCTAACTGGCAAAGGCATCACATTCGACAGCGGCGGCGCCAACATAAAGATCAAGAACTTCATGCAGGGTATGCACCGAGATAAGTGTGGAGCTGCGGCGGTGGCTGGTTTCTTCAAGACCCTCAGCATACTGAAGCCCAATTCCCTCAAGGTGATGGGCTTCATGGCTTTCGTTCGTAACAGTCCAGGCGCAGACGCATACATTCCGGACGAAATTCTCACCAGCCTTGCTGGTCGCCGTGTACGAGTCGTGAACACGGACGCCGAGGGTCGCGTGGTCCTAACCGATATGCTTTATTATGCGAAGGAGGCGGTACGTCTCTTCGTCTTCTTCCCAACTTCCCCACATTTTACCACTACGCATGTCAGTAAGCACACAGCCTTCGGGCAGGACGTCGACCATATACTCATGTATTTACAACTACGGTAGTCAGCATATTCAGTTTATTTACGAAACTCGGTTGGTGTCTTCGATAAACTGAGTAGGAGTTTGCAGTGGTAAATCAAAAGGCAGGAATTAAAAATTACGGGGAGGCTCATTAAATAATTCGAACGACGTCAATTAATGTAACAGATAATGTTACTAAAACTATGTTAGTAACACATATGTATCACATTCAGTTGCATCCACTGGGTGAATTTACGATAGCGTCCGCGACGTGGATCATCCACCGCGCACCATACTTGTCACATGATCCATTTATCTAAACGGTATGAGCATCAAATCTTGTCACAAAAAGACCTCGAGGACTCACAAGGTCACACTTTTCCGTTAAACTTTGAGATAGTGGTTAATTCATTGATAGGACCTAGTCAGTTGTGACCGTCATCATCTGTGTGGAGACTTATGCAAATCCCACAACACAGATGAGAAATGTGTACTCACAGTTTTAGAAATCTGCATTCTTCATAAAGGATGTTGATGCCGATGTCCCTCCCATGCCGGGCAGCAATGCTGAACGAGGTCGCCACTAAAAGCATTCATGCCTGACATATTTACACCATCACTAAATCATGTTTTTCATTTCCTACGCCGCAATTTTATTTGCTCGGGGACAATTTCCGAGATTTCTGATAAAACGCACTTAAACGACCCTAACATGCTAACTTTTGGAAATTTTAGGCCCTCAACGAAACCAACCCACACATCTTCTCAATCGCCACCTTAACTGGACATGCACGGGCGACCTATCTTGTGTACTCAGTAGGTTTTCAACAAAATTATTACAAGCCCTCTCTGCATGCGAATGGCCATTGTAACTTCAGACTGTATCAGCAATGATTTGGTCTGCAGTTTTATTGAAAATCAGATTATAGATTGTGCCTACTAAGAGTGGATGAATAGTACCATAAATGGCAGTAGCACATATATGCAGAGTTCACTGCAGTTTTAAGCATTCTTTCAGGTTAAACTGACTGTTGTATGTTGATTTGGAAGGGAGAAATTATACTATATTGTCTTTCAGTAATTCATGAATTGAGGTCTACTGACAATATACTTCTCAGTTTCACACGACCATAAGACGAAAACTGATATATGCTATTCTTCCTATGTATCATGCGCCGCTGTGCGCCACTGGTTGGGCTCGAGAGAGAGCCCTAAAGGCGCGACGGAACGAGTGAGTTCCGTATGAACGATCGGCGAGCGCCTCCTACCATCATTATATATATATATATATATATTATGAATATTATATATTGCATTACGAGAGCAATCACCCGATCTCTCACGAACGAAGTGCCGTGAACAGCCTCCTTAACCGAGCAAGAACCCACTGCTCTGACAACGTAACATATCAAACAGAACTGAATTATTTGTTCAAACTGTTTTACCAGAATGGGTATCCTAGATATTTTGTACACCGATGCGTGCGACGATAGGAGTTAAAAGAAAAAGAGAAGGAACTAGATTGTTCCGATCAGGCGCCCAAACCTAAAAACTGGCGAACACTTCTATACATTAAGAATGTGTCCGAACTAGTTGAAGGACACCTGAGAAACCACCAGATACATGTGGCGCACAAGCCGACGACCACACTTCGCAACCAGCTTGTACACCCTTAAAGATAGGGTTGGCTATTTAGATAAGAAGGAAGTCGCCTATAAGATACCATGCAACACCTGTAATGCGGTTTACTGTGGTCAAACCGGGAACTCGGCCTCTACACGAATACACGAACATCAGTTGGCCGTAAAAAGGCGAGACTACGTGTCCCAAGTTGCGATGCATACGTTGGAAACTGGACACAAATTCGCCTGGGACAGGACCCGCATTGTAGGTGTCTGCTCATCTAAAAAAGGCCGTGAATTTTTAGAGGCCATCCATTCTGATAACGCATGCATCAATCGACACGTAGAATTGAATAGGGTGTACAACAGCCTCAAGAAAAAATGGAAAAGGCATTAGCCAATCAGAACAATACACCAGCAGGAATGGCAAGGTAAAATCGATTTGTTCGGCATGTTTAAATGCTGACTGTTTTGCACACTTACTTCACGTCTAAAGAGGACTTGGGGAACCAAGATCGAAAGTTTACAATAAAGCTTGTTAATCTTTCCCAAAGAGCTTATTTCTTTCGAAATACTATATATATATATATCCATATTTATGACAGTGGGCGCTCGCCGATCAGGTTATGGAACATGCTCGTTCCGTTGTGCCTTGGGGCTCATACGAGAACCGTCGCAGGCAGTCGCACGGCGACTAGTAGTAGACATAGATGAGATGATACCGACAAAGACAAGGGAGACCGGAACGGCCATTTCTGGCTTATTAGTCGTCATCAGCCAGTCATACCCAATCCCAAGTGTGGATCACTTGAGATTCGAACCCGGGATCTTTGGTCATGGAGTTTGACGCTCTACCATTGAGCCACTGGCCCGTCGTCCTGTCGGTTGTGATCGGGAATATTAATTATGATAGTGGGCGCTCGCCGGTCAGGTTACGGAACATGCTCGTTCCGTTGTGCCTTGGGGCTCATACTAGAACCCTCGCAGGCAGTCGCACAGCGACCTGTAGTAGACATAGATGAGATGATATCGACAAAGACAAGGGAGACCGGAATGGCCATATATATATATATATCAAGCAATATGCGCGAAGATCCGAGGTCCAGATATATTACCGTGTATATCATCCTCCGAGGAAGACGGAGAAGAGAAAGCGATTTCATGAACCAGGTTGTATTCAGACTGACGTTTCGGAAACTCTCTCGTTTCCATCACCGGAGTCGTTCGCTGGTGTTTCCTGCTGGCCTTGATCTGTTCAGCCTTGCCGTCTGCCTCGCATTATAACCGTACCCAGCGCACGTTTGTTGACTAGCCTGCTTTCCGTTGGCTGATTGTCGCCTCCCTGATCTCAGCTATTGGCGGACTGACGTGGCTTGTGTCCCCCTCACGCCTAAAGTGGTTGCCGCTGCGTCGGCGTGCTCGTTGGCCTCTCCCTCGTCAGAAGGCGGGCTGATCGATCGTTGTTCCTCAGGCGTTGTGTTTCCGGCCTCGCGTGTACGTCCGTGAGACGGTGTGCCACGCCAGTCACGTGACATTCGGTTAGCGCCTTCTCCTCTTTCCGCGATCGTCGGCGGTCGACCCCGTGTGACTCTTTTCATCCGTGCCATCGGCCCTGCCTGGAATGACTCGAGTCTTGCGCGGAGGGCCTGGTAGGCTGGATGTATGTCTAAGGCCCGGTTGAGTGTGCCAGTCGAGGACCAACTTTCCAGCATTAGTCTGGCCATTTTATCATTGGCTCGGCCGATCACACTCGCTTTCTCGAAGGCGAAACTATGATTCCGCTCTAGTGTGTGGCCATACACCAACGACAGCTTATCTTTGCGATTGACTGCTAGCTGGTGCTCGTGCAATCTTGTGCCGAGGCGTTTTCCCGGTTCACCAACATACCTGGCATCACAATCTTGGCATGGTTTTCTGTAGACCACCGCTGATTGTTTTGTCACCGGGAGCGAGTCTTTGGGCCTCATGATTTGCTGTCTGATTGTTGATGCTGGTTTATGGGACACACCAATTCCAAAAGGTTTCAGAATTCTTGAAGTTGCCTCTGAAACGTTTTTCACATAGGGGATCGAGAGCCAGAGCTTCGGTTTCTCCTCGTTCGACCGCCCCGAGTGGGACTTCCTGAGACAGTTGCGTATGAACGACTTCGGGTAAACGTTGGCTTCAATTAGGGCACGTAAATACTTCACTTCCTTCTTCCTGTCATCGTCGTTGCTGCAATGAGTTTGGGCGCGTTGGAAAAGGATCCTGACATAACTGTGTTTGTGGCCGACGGGGTGGTTGCTTCTGAAGTGGAGGATGCGCCCAGTGCTAGTCGCCTTTATATTCCCGTCTGTCAGTTTCGTAACTTGTACGTCTAGGAAAGGCAATCGACTGTCGGCCTCTTCTTCTATAGTGAACTGTATGTCGGGAAATATCAAGGTGCACTCGACTGGTACACTCAACCGAGCTATAGATCTACATCCCGCCTACCAGGCACTGCGTACAGGGCTCGGATCAGTCCGGACAGGACCAGTAAGGCAAGCGAGCACGCGGGACCGAGAGTCAACGCTCACGGAAAAGAGCGGAATTGGGAGCCAGAGGTCATGTGACCAAAGCCGAATACTGTCTCACCGATGCGCCCGCGAAGCTGAATGCTGCTCACCTGAACAGCAACGACCGATCAGTCCACCGGCTGACGTGGGAGGGGCCAAGCGGCACGTTGATTTGACCACAATTACGCCGACCCCAAAGGGAACAAAGGTCACGCAGGCCCGTCAGCGGTCAACTCCGGGGAGGTCTAAGCCAGTCAGCGGCAAACAGGCAGGTCAAAGTTCTTGCGTCCAGCACGGCTATAATACAAGGCAAGCGGCAAGACTGAACAACTAAAGACCGACAAGTGCAACAATTACGCTAATCTGATGATAGAAACGAGGAAGTTTCCGAACCTTCAGTTCGAATACAATACGGTCCATGGATTCGCCCTCTCTTCTTCTTCGTCTTCTTCAGAAGATGATGAACGCGAGATATATATATATATATATATTACTGTCAAGGGTTAATAGAAACTGGTCTTCTAGCACATCAGCGTTACGAGGGATGGATGTACCAGCCATGTAAAAATTATTTAAATCCGCAATAATACTTTTCTAAAAACAAATATTATTTAGAGACTCCAAACACTTCGGTGGCATACGCGGATGAAATATATTTCCGCACGACTACAAAATCCCCCACTTACGTTCCAGGACACTATTTATTGGGGTGCTTCTTCGGGTAAATACGCCATGACTGTGATTTTTGCCAACACGCTTGCCTTGTTGATGAAAAGCCTTAGGACCATGCAAAGTGCTTACTATTTTTTTTAAAGACGGTGCCCCTTCTTTCGGCTGTGGTTTCTGTGAATTACCTTTTTGTGGATCGTTGGTGGAATAGTTAACCTGGTTCATGACTCGGAGGGTGATGGAAAAAAATATTTGTCAGCGCCCTGCCAGCAACATCTTAATCTTGCCGTCTTCTCAGTTCTTCCCTGTCAACTTTCTTATCGTCATCGATTATGTCGCATTAGAGGGCATCCTCGATGATTGGTGATACAGATCCCGGTAAGGATAGGTTCTTGCCAGGCTGGGCTGTTTAACTGTCCATAACTAGTTACTGTATGGTTTTTCAGTAGGCCTTGTTTTATTTATTCCTTCAAAAGCACACGACATCCGCACATATGCGTTACCTAGCACATTGATGCCACCACATTCGCAGACTCGCCCCAATTATGATCAACAGGTGATCGAGGCACGCGAGGGTGAAATGGGCCACTTTATAAAGGATGCAGAATGCGACGGCTAGCGATCTTCAAGACCTCTTTGACTGAAAACTAAATACAACTGGGATTCAAATAGTATATTCAAATGGAAACATGCCGCGGAATAGATCTCAATTTGATATCAGAACGTATTTTTCCAACCCAGGTGACTATGGCTTCTCCATAAGTCTCCAATTTCACCTATAAACGAGGACGGGTTTTGGTATAGACAAGTATTTGTTTCTGTTCGATTGTAATCACAGTAGTGGTTAGGAAATTTAGCATTCGGAAGTCCGTAACACGAAGTGAGGCTGTTTGAGAACTGGTTTTCCTTTAATTTAACAAGCAGAAGTCAATTATTCGTCTGTGTCTCCACACCAATCTTTTCTGCGGAAGTGTTATATCTGCTGTCAATCTAAAAATGACCTCAGCGACTCACCAGTCTGTCTTCTGCCGTTTAGCGAATTCGTTAAGCGACACCCCCCTTCTCTGGAGGTCTCATGGTATAAGATAAGTAATAGTGACCAATTTTTCGGGCAAAGATCTTCAATGCATTGATGAACTTTTAATTAGGCCATTATGGACAATGGACCCGCACGACGAAAGAAAACGGCCGCGTCAATTCAAAAGGCTGGCGATCGGATTTCTGACATGATGGAGGTTAGTTTGTCTGCCGCTGCTTTACATCTTTGCATTGGCTGTTTTTCCCATTGTAGAAGACTTAATCACTTCAGCCGTAATCAATATATGCCCTTTAGAATTCATTTTGACTAGCACTCATTGAGACAGTCTCAGATATGTGTCATTTGGACAACTGAATACACCGGAATTTACATCGTCGGTGTATAAAAACTCGTAGACCTCGGCGCATGCGAAAGATGAGCTTTAACTCCCTCGGATCTAGGCAATCATCATGCTCTTTTAGGAGTTTAAGAGTGAGCTACAGCTGCCAGAAACTCCCAAGTATTTGACAGAACGCAACGTCGGTCGTCAGCGCTGAATGCTCCCAAATTCTCAAGAAACCGCCTCCGCGTCTTTCGTACGAGAAAGAATGCTAATTACTCGACAACAGTTCGACCGTCCTGACCGATTATATTCACCGTATGCTCCACAGTAGGCGGAAAGCAGGTGCGGAGATTTGCGCGCGAACTAGTTTGTAGTGTTAGTGGACTTGCACAGCATCCACCTCACTCGCTCTCTTCCCCACCTGGGCCCAGTGGCAAGACGACGTCAAGACCGAAGGTGAGAGACAGCGCAGATGGCTGGTACGACAAAACCCCGCATCTAGACATACCACCACACACCCTGGTCCAGAACGAACAATGACCAGAATTTTATACACCAAGAGAAATGGGGGGAGGCGACACGTTTCTCGATAGGCGTCGCATGAGCCTGCAACTGGGCGCACCGCTGAAGCCCCCCCCTCACATGTTGACATGTTTTATGCGTTCGCATTCATGATAGCACCTGCTGAACTCTAATCTGGCCACCGTGTTGGTCCATCGCCAACATGTGGACAGTTTTAGGGGCAGAATTATTAACTCACTCAGCATGACTGGCAGTGGTCGAGCATCTGCTTACGTTGTCATGTCACTGTTGTAAAAGTGGTGGACCTCTCGTCAGAACACGCTTAAACCGATGTCAGATGAATTCGTGCTCTATGTCTGTAAATTATCTTACAAACTAGGTGTTCGATAACTTATTCTCCTCCACAGTATCCTGAGGGCTTAGGCCACTGTTAGCGAAATGGTCATGGAGAGTAGGGATGTAACTTTTTTCATGTCGTCTTCTATTCGCTGACATTTAGATATCGACAATTAGGAGGGAGGACTATGACATCACGAATGGTCAATCGGAGTACGAGGACTTGATGCAGTCTTTCCACCGGAATCCTTCAGAGCATGCTCGAGGACACCAATTTCCAGCAGCCTACCTTATCCGAGCCAGTGGACTGGACGAAGTGAGTTGTCATCTGCCTTTCCGCTGTAGACGCTAAGCGTCCAGCTCTCTCTGTCCGACTGGGATGTCTCGGTTCTCAGGAGGATTAGCTAGTGGATGTGAACAGCATTGACGTGGTTAAGTTGCAGCATCCATCTTGACGTCGGATGACTTTGAGTTGGCTGGAGCTGAGCTCTATAGCCTGCAGCGACGGGTTTGTGAATATGCTACCGGCAATTTGCGTGTTTATCCGGGTGGGAGTGAACAATGACCTCTGAACGGCCTCTCTACAAACTGCGAGAGAAGTGAGCAATAGGGTTCAGCCAAGCAAATCCGATCCCTCCAGACAGCGTTATAAATCCCGCATCTTGATTTTGACATCCTGTTAGACGGCCGACCTTAGTGTCTGGTAGATACCGCACGCGAATTGTCGCTGGCTGTTACTACCAACACCTGCGTTGGGTTAGGGATGGCGCCCCCCGAACACATCAGCCGCTCGAGAGGACTAGGTGTGGTGTGGCCAACCAATCTTGAGCAGTTTTCAAGGATTCTTGTAGAATCCACTCCGTGCTTCAACTACTGCATTAAGCCTTCAATATAAACTATATTAAAACCAAAACGCACCAGATTATCCCCTAGAAAATTGTCTTCGCTATGACGATACATTTGGAAGCACTGAATAGCCCTGGTAGCCCTGATGTTGGAGACCACAAAATTTGATAGTCGTGGATTCTTGGGAGAAGCCCGGGATATTTTGCAGGATGTCTGAGGTTTAGGCAATCGGCAGAGAGGGTCCTTCAGACGCAGTGTTACTGTGGCAGACAAAGGAGGCATTTGTGATCATTTAGAGGGCCAAGGGCAAAACCTCGGTCAGTAGTTTGTCCTGCAATTGGGATTTAACTTCAAACCTCACGGTCGTGTACCCTCAAGAATCCTCGATCGTAGCGGGCGGGAGTGGGAGATCGTGGTCCAATGAAAGAGCAGTTGGCTCGTCAACGGAAGAGTCCTGATTCGGAGTCTGAGTCCACCCAGACTGTGTTTGGGACTTGGAAGACTAAGTCTCTGCAAAACAAACTTTAGACCCGGCAGAAGAGATGTCTACAAAATAGGACGCCTCAGAACTTTCTTTTGCGTCTTACAATTATTTTGTCCCTTAATTACGTCCTTCTTACTTTGCAGCACGGCCTAAACTCTCCGCGGCCGATTCCCTACACCCATGTCGACATATGTCCCGCCAGAGGCAGGGATACTGAGCCCCCAACGGGTGTTCCAATCATGGCATTCACAGTGCGATACGTACTACCCCGACTAGGAGTAACGGAAGAAGCTGCAACCTGCACCTGCCTCGCCTAAATTCCGCTTCATCCTCTGCAGAGACTTCGCTAGGGCATTTCTGTAGTTACTTAGCTTGAAAACTCTGATAATGGGATGCTTGTTGACATTTTTCGAATGACCACAGTTTATTTTTCGCAGACAGGTCACCTGCTTCGAAGCTATGAAAATAAACAAGACAGGTTTCCAAGCACTGTTAAGGGGATCCGCGATTAAGCTGTTCAGTCCAGAAGAAGAGGAAGATGCGATCACTGGAACAAGGAGTTTGTGGGCCTTACTTTTCGGATTCTGACTCGAACCCCTCATCAAAGACGGTGGCAGATAAATATACCGGAGGCACAAAACAGCAGTTTTTATGGTACTTTTAGTATTTAAGGGAGATTATTCCGGACGCGCACGGCTGAGCACGCTGCAGCGGTGGGGAGAAATGACGCTAACTCTCAGGTGGCAGCTCATTCCACGGAACCCAGCCACTTTTTCAAGTGTTAAGAGTCCGAAATCCTTGTAAGGGCTGACAACCGCGTGAACCGCGAGTTGCTCGAATCATAGTTCTCAGGTCCGCAATCCATCAACAGGCGCAATGACCTCCTGGTACCATATTCGGTGCTTAGAAATTTCCTAAACAGGGGATCAATTACTTGGTGAGGGCGCGGGCGAACAAAATTTCCAATGACAGTGGAGCAAATTACCGAGTAATCATCAGGCCAACCTCCAAGGGGGATGATGAAATTGCGCCAGTTATCGACTCTGACGCGAACTGAAAAGTCATCATCGCATCAATTGCGACCCCGACCCCCGGTGATCGCGAGAGCTGCCAATTATAGTACGCTTGTGGTCCCACGGCAGCTAGTACTAAAAATACTTCAGTCTTTGTGCCTCCACTACCTTTATTTGCGACCGTCTCTGATTATGAATTCGAATGAGTATCTGAGACGTCGGACCCAATGAACTTCTTGTTCTAGTGATCGCATGTTCTTCTTCTGAACTGCTTCCTAAAAGTCGCCTGTTTTCTTCTAGTGTTTAATCCAGCTAGTAATATTTGCATGAGCTGGGAGTGAATTCTCCGGTTATATTCAACTTCGGTGAAATAAAAGCGCAATATTTGCCTTCTTCCAACAGGCAGTCAGTAGAATAAAAATATAGATTGATTTCTCAGATGCTGCCAACGGTTCCTGCGCAAAAAAATCAATGCTGGATTTGATATCTGACAAAGATGCAGCCTGTTGCCCATTTCGTTTATCTACGCTATTGATTAAATTCTCTGAATGACCCTATACGGCTGTGACAGTCGGACGCCAGCTGACTGACCTCAACTACGCCTGTTAGCTCAAAGCTTCGGCGATCTCAAATCTGTGGTGCTATGGATGATGTCGCTGGTTTGGTAGATTCACTCATAAAAATCAAGTTGGCAAACACGTGTTTTCGGTAATTCTTCGTCAGGCCATTACAGTTACATGAAGGAATGAAAATGTACAAAATCAACAGTAGATTGAAGCAATGTTTTCGCCAAATAAATCTGAATAAGGCAAAGGCGACAAAGCATGCAGTATTTACCGACGTCATAAATTTCGAGACCCCTCATTCAGCTGCGTACGGTCATCGCATAGTTATATTACAAGGCAAACTGTTCAATCAATGATCGACCTAGAGAGATAAAACGTGATAGGTAACCTGAAACATGGGTCTAGTGTGCGGGTGCGTATGGCGAGGGGGGGAGGGGAGAGAAGTTGTCGAAGTATGAGAATTAAGATTACAGAGAGAAATTTTCCGGCGAGATTTATAGTGCAAAGCGCGGGCAGCATCCAGTCATGCCGGGGAGGGAGAGAGGGGCTGGAGGCGAAATGAAATGGCGTATGTTCATCGATAAATATCGGCATTCCAGACAAGGAACTCCTGAAGAAATATCTGTACCAAATAACTCAGTGACCATCTACCTCCCCTTCAAGGGTGATAATGTGTCAAACATGATCAAGCAACGACTTCGGTGCACAATCGAAAGGACGTATGCCGCCTCTAAATTGTTGTCCATAAGCACCACAAGGGCCATCGCAGTAAGACCAGCTAAAGACATTTTGCCTATGCACGCCATATCAAACTGTATTTATGAGTTTACATGTAGTTGCGGATGCAAGTACATTGGGCGGTCAGCTGAACACATGCCGAAATAGCTGGTTAAGGCGGAAAATAAGGTACTCAGGAGCTCAATCACGAAGTACCTAGTGGACACGGGTCACACGATGGACCCAGTGGTTGTATTCAAGGTCCTGTTCAGGGCGACGACCGGTCGTCTCTTGCGCTTTGCAGAGGCCGCTGCAATACGGAGGAGGAAACCAGAACTCTGTAAGCAGTTGGACCACGTGATAAAACTGGCACTTCCATGGTAAAGAGCGATTATGAACGAAACTCTGTTCCCATATACGTCATCTTTGAGTGATATTCTTGGATTAAGTACACGGAGTACCCATCACTGTAATTAGGGATTTGAGGCGGCATTTCGTCATCACTTGAGGTTGACGTTGGTCACGGTAGAGAGAGCGCTTGTGTCAGGGTTTTCTGACAGCATAACACCGGATTCGCTAACCGTATAGCCCCTGCCTCGGCCTTTGCTAGTATCCGCTGGCGTAGGCACTTACAGAAGCTTGTTGGTGTACGATAGACAACCTGAAATGCTTCCTTGGCATCGACTCGGTGATTCGCATCGATTAAATGTGCGAGAATAGAACTCGAAATCGACCGAGTCTTTCCTCTGTCTAACCAGGCGAGCATATGTTCACGCACCCTCTTTACCAGGTGTCTGGTTGTGCGACGGATGCATCCCGTTCCACAGGAGCAAGTGAATGAGTAAATGCACATTAATGTGGCCTCCAACGGTCATCCGTTTTTACCTCCAAAACATAGGAGTTTGTGAAGCATACGCGTAAATTCGCCGCGCGGAATGCCCTCGTTATTGCTGCATAAAAGCTGGGATGACGAAGGTGTTTTCGAGTGGCATCTCCTACCGGGAGACGGCACTCCTCCAGACTAATGACTAATTGGCAGCTAGAGTGCGACGTATTTGCTCTCCTGAGACTGTGGAGGCAGAACTCCAGCAGCTGCGGGATACACTCCACGAAAACGGATACCCAGAAAGATTTATCCCTCGAAATATAGGGGAGCGCACTGCAAAGCCTACCATGGCAACTGCAGAAAAGAAAGACTTATTTATAAGATTGCCCTTTCAAGGGGACGCAGCAAGTGAACTAGTAAAAAGACGTCTGAAGACAGCGATCACTAGCGCGTTCCCCGCGGCGAACTTACGTGTGTGTTTCACTAACTCTCCCCTCCTACGCTTGGGAGGTAAAGACCGACTCCCGTTGCAGGCCACATCGATGTGTATTTATTCATTCACTTGCTCCTGTGGAGCGGGATACATTGGCCGTACAACGAGGCGCTTGGAAAAGAGAGTACGTGAACACATACCGGCCTGGCTAGGCAAAGGTGAGAAGAAATCGATCTCGAGTTCTATTCTCGCACATCTTGTCGATACGAATCACCGAGTCGATGCCAAAGAAGCCTTTCAGATTGTCTACCGGACACCAGCAGGCTTCTCCAAAGGCCTACGCCAACGGGTACTAGCTACAACTGAGGCAGTGGCTATACGGCTAGCCAATCCAGTGCTATGCTGTCAGAAGACTCTGACACAGGCGCTCTGTCTTCCGTAGCCGACGCCGACCCAACGTCGCCCCAACCTCCTGATGCCAGAGTGTGTGCACAAGGTACTCGACGTACTCAGCCTATGCCCCCCCTCCTACTCGCCCCCTGAACCCAAAGACCACGACACGCCGACCACGCCATAGCACGCCTCGTCATGCGAGTGGCGTGGGAACGATCGATGTTAATTTTCCCCGAATCATTTACAAGTCATGTTATTCGCATAACTTAAACTTCATTGTAACCGTTTTGGCCTGATGAAGAGTTACCGAAAACACGTGTTCGCCAATTTGACTTTTTAATTTGAAAAAAGTAGACAGTGAGAAAGGACTTCTCCAGTACGAAATAGGGCCTCAACATAGTACATCCGCCCTAAGCTGCAAGTTGGCAAACGCAAGTTGGCAAATGCAAGTTGGAAAACGCACATGGCAACTAGAGTGTACCCGCAATAGGCATGTAACTGTCTGGTAAATACTAGTGTATCAATGCATGGAAGGTATGGCAAAATTGTGAACACATAAAAACGTGTTACTGAAATGTGTCCAGTAGTACTAGAAAGGACGCATAACGGTCAGTCCTGACTGCTATAGGTGGCGAAGGATGGCTGGAGTCAAACTCAAACGACCGGTTATCTTCGCGGTGCGATCAATGCATGAAATTCTGCGGTGCGTGAGAGTAAGCACTAGAACGCCTGACGATACATTACAGGATGTTCGCAGCAGACCCCAATGGTGCAGAGAAACGTTAAAGGACAAGTTGTTAAGGCAGAATCAACAAATGCTTCGTTTGCAGCAGCGCTCGGGGTGATTGCTCACGGAATAGCCACTGCTCGGCAAAACCCTCGGACACAGTTAATGACATTGATATCAGATACATTTTTAAACATGACTGGCGGTCGAAAATTGAAAATCCTGCTTTATATCAGAATTGATCTCGACTCTGGCTCTAACGTCCGGTCCTGTGCAACGCCTTGGTATTGAGATGAAAGCGCCCGATCTGTCTACTAGGTGAAGGATACCTTGTTTTCAGTCTTATGCGGACACATTTGAGGAGGTCAGTAGGGTAATAGAAACGTCCTTTATTAAATTTCTGACATCGGTCAGTTTTGATAATCGAGGAAAAGTGTAATATGATATTTAATGCTCCAGAATGGCGCTAACAGTAGCACTTACGGTTGCATTGGGAAGGCGGGTTCCGATTAGCCGTTGTGTGAACAATCAATAGCAGTGAGCAAATTATTGTAAACACGGAACTTTGGTAGAGTGACTACAACGTCTGTGAAGTCATAGGCAATGTGTTGCATTTTGCACATGAAATGTACAAATGGAAGC